AAATTAGCGGGGAGATGTTGGGATTAATGAGTCCTGGCCTTCAGCTGCTTTTCCCTCCTAGAACCTTCTAATATAAGTTACTAGAAGCTGTGCCTAGTTAGAGGATCAGAGGCTGGGATTACCACCTGTTGACCATTGACTGCAGTGCATTTAAGTCTACATGGTGTTAATAGAGAGGGGCTTTTGGTACCAGTGTTAGAAGGTCTGCGTGTGGGTCTGTCTCTGCGTCTGTGTTCTCAACCTCCAGCCCTCTGCCCGAAGCTTGCGAACTGAGTTCTAGCACATAGAGCGCAGACCGCAGACCGGGGCCGCAGTGCACAGCAACTTCCCATGTAAATTAGATCCATGTATCTCTTAGTATCTTCATTGTTGTCTAAATTGTAAACTGTAAGCTGGTTTTCTTTGCTTTATGTCTAAAAGCCACTTATGAGTGAGTACATATGCTATTTGTCTTTCTGTGTCTGGGTTACCACACTCAATATGATGTTTTCTAGATACATCCATTTGCCTGCAAACTTCAAGATGTCATTATTTTTCTCTGCTGTGTAGTACTCCATTGTGTAAATGTACAACATTTTCCTTATCCATTCTTTGGTTGAGCAGCATTTAAGTTGTTTCCAGGTTCTGGCTATAACAAACAATGCTGCTATGAACATAATTGAGCACATGCTTTTATGGTACAATTGAGCATTTTGGGGGTATATACCAAAAAGTGGTATTGCTGGGTCTTGAAGTTGGTTGTTTTCTAATTTTATGAGAAATTGCCATATTAATATCCAAAATGGATGTACCAGTTTGCACTCCCACCTGCAATTCAGAAGTGTTCCCTTTACCCCATATCCTCTCCAGCACAAGTTGTCATCAGTGCTTTTGATCTTGGCCATTTTTACAAGTGTAAGATGTAATCTCAGAATTGTTTTAATTTGCATTTCTCTGATCGGCTAAATTGTTGAGCATTTTTAAAAAATATTTTATGAAAGACAGCTACCCTTCTTGCCTTTAAGAGCTTCTATTATTAGGTCAGGTTATTCCTGAGTGGTTTTCTGTTTTGTTTAGATTGTTTTGTATTTTTTGTTTTCTTTTGTTTTTCAAGAAAGTTTTTCTGGGTGGCTTTGGTGCCTGTCCTGGAACTAGCTCTGTAGACTAGGCCGGCCTTGAATTTATAGAGATCAGCCTGCTTCTGCTTCCTGAGTACTGGGATTAAAGGCATGTGCCACCATTGCCTAGCTCCTGGATGTTTTATTCATCAATTTCAGTAATTGCGTTTTCCCTTTAAGTTTCTATATTTTAAGTGAGATTTGATGTACTTTTCTTTTTCTGAATAAATAAGTATACACAGATATGATAATGAATTCATAGACACAAGCACAGGGGACTCTCTAACATGGTATACTACATCTCTATTATGTGCAAATATGTTTTGAATTCATAGACACAAGCACAGATTGCTCTCTAACTTTGTATACGTCATCTCTATTATTTCCCACTCATATTTTATTCCATGATTTTTTCTTGAATTTCTCATTTACAAAACTGAATGATTCAGAAAAATGAATACTTTCCTAGAACCATCTGAATAACTGTTTGGAGTTAGAACATCTAAGTTCTCAAGCAGCTAAAACAAAAGCCCAAATAGATTTTAAAATGCTCACTATTTATCAAGTAGGTATCCACCTGTCTGAATCTCTACCAGCTTTGTGACATTGTGGTTCTGTCTGAAATGCCAAAAGAATAAAGAAAAAAATCATTTCCTGACTGTCTCTCAAACACCTACACAGAACTTCAGAGTGGAGACCAAGGATAATCAATCTTCTAGAGTCTGATAAGCAATGGATAACCATCACCTGCAGGGTGTACCTCGTGGAATCACAGAGGGAGGAATAAAAAGATGGAAGATGAAAGAGGCAAATTAAATTCTCTGCATTTGTTTCTAGAATATGGATAATATTCAACACATAGCATGTTCTTTCTCTTACTGTGCTGTCCAGGAACTGCCCAGGCATGCCGTCTTGTGATGGAAGGGGCTTGTTTTCCCTCCTTTCCAAAGGCAGGTCTCAGAACCCTGGCTCTGCTTTATTCTTCACGAAGCTTTGCTTGCACATGTTTTATACAGTTTTTTCTTCTCCTCTCATGATCCTTAATAGATAGGTCTGTTTTCCAGCTTTTGTCTCCCTTGTGCTTGCTTATTATTCTCTCCACATTACCTCCAACACTGAGATTTATTTCCTTTTCCTTTCTCTAAGCCTACCTATTATTTTCCTGTGTAGAAAATCGTCAACAATTCTTCCTTCAAGCACTCAAACTTAAGTTCTCCCAGTTAAATGCTTGCATTAAAGGAAAGAAAAGTCTACCAAACAAGAAGAGATTGGAACAACCACAGGGACACGGTTTGCTTCTCAGTACGCATCTATTGTTAAGTGTCATGGATACTTGCCATAAAGAGAAAGCTTATCTTTTCTTCATGGTTCTCATCAATGCTTAGTATAAGGCATTTGCAAAATCTACATCAAAATATTCACCAGTAAGCTAACTTAACAGAACCTTACAGATAACTAATGATTTATATTATTCTTTAGTAATTTGCTTTTGCTAAGGTGTTTTGTGAGAAGTAAAACATCTATATTCTTGATTTATCTCTAAGAAGCCCTAATAATCATATGGGGAAACAGGTATACCATATATTTGAAATGATACCGTTGGAGCCCTAAGATGACTTCCTCAAGCTCTGGTCTCACCCTATGAAGTGTTTATCTCTAGTAGCAAAGACTGGTGTTCAACATCTCTTATCAGTTACTGAAGCAGGCTCTACTATCAGTCTGCTTTCTTTCCACGTTTAAAACAACCATCTCGTAGCTACACTTGTCTTTGCCATCAAAAATCTCAGTATCCTCTTCTACTAGCACTGTGATGACAATGCCAACAAGTTTAAGGAACCAGAAGAGGTGGTGAGTTAAAGTATTGACCCTAATGCCGGGCACACATGAAGTGCTCAGTCACCACTAACCACAGTTATGATTACTAGCAATTACACATTTCAACCCTCCTCCCAGGGGAAGGAACCAGGCTCCTGTGTAGATGACAATAATGCTAAAGTGTTAGTTGATGCCTCTAAAAAGTGGTGTTGAATGCTGAGTAAAGAATGGTGCACACTTAATAGGATTTTACTGTCTTTCAGGAGTAGCATTTATATTGGGTGATTCTTTGGGGACTGCATGAAATGAGGTCATTCTTTGAAGGTTGTTAGCATGCACAGGATGTGGCACACAGTAAGTGATCATTGAAAATAGTGGCTAGAGGCATTTTCTCCTTAACAGAGAATGATGTCATACTCTGCATTTTTCCAGTAAAACATTTTACCCTTTTGAAGTAGTTAGCATGAAAGCCTAATTTCCACTAGTTTCTGTTTTATCCCTTAAGCTTTTGTTCTTTATCTCGTTAGTTGTGTCAATATATGTAGTTTAATATGAAATTTTGATACATATACACAATATAATAGTTTAAATATAATAGTTCACAATACCTTATTTTATATCTTATAAATAACTAGAAAAGAGGATTTTAAAAACTTGTTTAATGATGAGATGGAGAAGTTAATTAAATTGATATGAACAGATAGATATATTCACTATACACACACACACACACATATATATATATACTTATATAACTGTATCTATACAGAACAGAGATAGACAGATAGCAGCTAGATTAGTTGTCAATTACACTGAATTCCAAACACATATACAATTCTTATTTTGATCACTTTTAACTGTCTAAGATGATGGGAAAATTGGTTAGTATTTCCAAATGGAAGTCTCTCTGTGTTTTTGTCTCTGTCTCTATGTCTATCTTTCTTTTTCTCTCTCTGGGATCATTTAAAAATCTTTTCTTAGACCCAGTCCTCAAGGTTGTCCTTAGCACTGCAACAGACCACCATTTGCAGCCTCCCTTCCTCCCTCTACATACCTCCTGTGGGTCACAGAGACCAACACCACCCACCTCCCTCCCTCCAACCTCCAATACCAGCAAGTACTCCCTGTGAACACACCAGTAGATCAGGCCAGTAAGACAGTCAACATACTCTTTGATGTTCCAGAGATGAAAGAGAAACCAAGGAACAAAATATCTACCTAACG